TAATAATTCGGTCCCTCAATCCCCGAGTGTTTGTGAGGCAACGCCGTGCGCAATTGGCTGCCGCGTTTCGCCCACACCAATATACCGGCAGTTCGCTTCACAGGGTAGTCCGTGAAGCGCTTTGAGGCGTCTCGAAGACGTGAGATCGAATGCAAGGATTGTTATTATTTTTCTTTGATTCCGACAGACATCTGGCGCTGCAATGAAGACAAACCGCAACTGATTCCATCGCTGATGGACCTCACAATAGAAATATAAAGCCTTGGGGATATTATGGTGATACTGTTGTTCATGTCATGATGAACTGGCATTGCTCAGAACAGCTTTGAGAGAGAAAAGAAAAGGGGGAATGCATCTAAAAAGGATCAATGTGTGTATTTAAACTCATATTACTTGCCTAGACTGGCTCCGAAAGGTTCGCATTTTAATGATACTGACAATAAAATTCACAAATCTTGCCATTTTCCCTCGTTTCATCCCCCTGGAGGGGAGCGAAAAACCCTTAAAATCAATCTTAATGTAGTAAGCGATAGAGTGTGCGTGGGGGGGTGGAGAGGTGGGGGTGTGGGGGGGGGAGTTGCGGGGGGGGTTTGGTGGTGGATCTTTTCAAAGGTAGAGAACCTGTTATTTGTCAAATGGGAATTATATCGAGAGGTTGGCAACGCAAGATGATGGCACAATATTCTTGACTGATGATCACGCAGTGAGTTAAGAGCCTGATGCAAAACAAGGGCGAGGCGTATACCTTATTTATCATCTGATTGTCGCTCCTTGTCTCTGGTTCCGCTCCCCCCCACCCCCTTCCCCCTCCCTCCCTCCCCCCCCCACACCCCCATGCAAACCCCGACTAAACCTCTCTTCTGTTTGCATTGGAGTTATTAATAATGAAGGGGTTCAAATCATTACAATAATAATAATAATAATAATCCTTGCATTTGATATAGCGCTTTTCACGTCGGGAGGACGTCCCAAAGCGCTTCACAGAATATACTGTAAAGTGAATTGACTGTATATTTGTGGGCGAACGCGGCAGCTAATTGCGCACAGCAATGTCCCACAAACAGTCGTGGATTGAAAATGACCAATTTATTATTATTTTGTTTTGGAGGGATTATTATTAGGCTCGATGATTTCACTGGCAAAGGGCAATCATGCTTCTCAGCGGTAATTTCAGCTGTAAACCCTTACAAGAGGTGGGGGCTGGGACGCGTGGGTGGGGAGGGTGGTGCGGGGGGGGGGGTAAGAATGGTTTCCGGGCATCGTTTGTGAACAATGTGCCCTTTCAAGGCGACGTGCCTGGCAATGAGATCTCAGCCGCAAATCTGTGGCTGGCAGTCTCTCTCTGTTATGATGATGATCATTGCATTTGATGAATATCTCTCAAAGCGCCTCACAGGCGGAATCCGTGCGAGTCCGATCGGCTGTGCGTTTTGTGGGCGAAACGCGCAAGCCATTTGCTCACAGCCGTGTCCCACAAACAGCCGCGGAGCGAGTGAGTGAGTGAGTGAGTGAGTGAGTGAGTGGGTGGGTGGGTGAGGGAGCGAGCGAGCGACCATGTAATAAGACGCTGTGTCAAATATAGTTATAATTCAGCATCTATCTGGATTGAGTGACCAAATGTATTTTTTTTGGGTGGGGGGGGTGTGTGGGGGTTTGGAGAGAGGGATTATTTCCCCCGGAAAGCGATCTGCCGATGGACTAACAACTATTGCTAGGTAAACAGAGTAAGAGGGTGTAGAGTAAGGAAACTTGCCTAAGGTTTCGCCCTGCCCGGCCCCGCCCGGGAATCGAACCGATGCTTGCGAAGGCGAGAGTCTAACCACTGAGCTACGAGGCTCTTGTGATCAAAGCTCACAAGCCCATTCGGGTAAGACACCGAGGACTGCGGGATCACACCCGAGGCGTGGGTCGGGTGTCTTCGGGAAAGGGAAATGGACCGAAAGCACGTCAAACTAGGAAAAGTGCATGATCTGTTCACTCTGCGCCCTGCATGCTGATGACTTTATAAATCCTTATAACTCTTCGTAAGAGAGAGAAAAAACCCCCCCGCAAGGTTTCCTCTTGTTATTTGTGCGCTTTTATGTGAGCTTCCCGCACGTCAAGCTATTCTTAAACTCCCCCCCCCCCCTCCACCCCACCACCCTCCTCCCCGGATCACTGACAATCAATTCGGCAATTTGAGCAAAAATAAGGGAATGAATTGAGATTTTCCGTTTGTGGCGCTTCAGTGAAGAGATGTCAATCATCATTGTGCTTCCGACGCGAGAGCTCCCCAGGACATGACAATGTTCTGCTGATCGCTAAGGCAATAAAAGGCTTAACAGGGTCAGGAATAGGGGAAACAGCTTCAACATTAATCATTTTAATGATCGGCCTTGGAGTCCTGAAGCACAGTGGCGGTTAGGGCACTCGCCTTGCAGGCCAGAGGACCCGGGTTCGATTCCCGGACAGGGCGAAACCTTAGTCAAGTTTCCTCACTCCACTTACACCTCTGTTTAGTCCCTCTGCCTTGCCCAGCCCCCCAACCCCCCTTGCCTCCTTTAAGACCCATCTCAAGACCCCACTCATCGACCGCGCTTTCGATCACCCGGCTTCCCCCCCACTGCCCTCCACACTCCCCAATCCCAACCCCCAGCTCGGGTCCGAAACATGCGGGTCCATAGTCCAGGGCCTTGGGACGTCCTCCCGATGTGAAAGGTGCTATACAGATGTATTTTGTTGTCGTTGGTAAGTAGGTAAGTAGGAACCCGGTTGTTAGTCGATTAGCGGATCGCTTTTCCGGGGGTAATAATAATAATTTGGTTACTCAATCCACGACTGTTTGCGGGGACACTGCTGTGCATTGGCTGCCGGTTTTCGCCCACAAAAAAAACACAGTCAACTCACTTTACAGTCTATTCCGTGAAGCGCTTTGAGACGGCTCGAAGACGTGATAAGGCGCTGCATCAAATGCCAGGATTATTATTATCACTCACTTGGATAGTGTCTCGCTTAACAGGGACAGAGCTATACTGATATACACACACACACACAAAATGTACATTTGTACGCTCTCTGGTGAGGAGCAGTTGAATATTGCTTGGTCCTGAAATAAGTGTTTATTTAGTGACCAGGGCATTCCTTACTTTGCAATTTCTCCACAGCTGGACTGTGGAGAACTGTAATCTTCTCCCTACTCTCAATCCATTATATCATCCAGTCACACTAATCTGTGTCGGTCTTCTGATCATGGAAAGAGTACTCGAATGTTTATAGCACCATAGGAGGCCATTGAACATATTGTGTCCATGCTGTTTGCCAATTGGGGCATCATCTCCTGTTTCTTAGTGGTTCGAACCCTCGCCTCGCAAGCGAGAGGACCCCGGTTTGATTCCCGGGCGGGCAGGGTGAAACGTCGGGCAAGTTTCCTTACACCACACGCCTCCGTTTACCCAGCAGCAAGTAGGGACCTGGTTGTTAGTCGACTGGCGGATTGCTTTTCCGGGGATGATCATCCCTTCAAAAAAAATAAATAAATGATAATTTAGTCACTTATTCCATGGCTGTTTGCGGGCACGCTGCTGTGCGGAAATTGGCTGCTGCGTTTCGCCCTCAAAACATACAGTCAATTAACTTTGCAGTGCATCCCGTGAAGTGCTTTTTAGACGTCTCAAAGACGGGATGAGACGCTGCATCAAATGCAAGGATTATTATTATTATTATTATTATTATCTTAGACAATGTGAGCTCAACGTCCTGATGTGGCAAGAGAACTAATCACTGAGCCAGGCTGACATACTACGCAAACATCCACGCAGGATAAGACATTCTTAAGCCTTTAAGCGTTCCTTTTTTTCAGCTGTTTTTTTCCAATTCCCTTTTAAATTGCCTTCAATTTCCAGACAGTAATAAGCCCATAACAAATGAGTAATGTGTCTCAAATGTCTTCAATTTTCTCATGGTGAAAACAATCATTATTTCCCTTCCACCAATTCAAGGTCCTGCTCATTCCTCATTCCTCTGACTAATTTTCGACAGACATTGGTTGCTTCATCGCTCAACTTCACGTAAGCTCCTTACCTCAGTGCCCAAGGTCCACCTTCCGAGACCAAACTAAGTTGATAGTCTTAAAATGCCCCCAAAATAAATTATTTTCTTCCTTTGATCGATTCCAAGATCCTCTCAGACTCATCTTCAAATCCCTCCACGCCTGACACCTCCTTCGCTACCTCTCGGACCTCCTTACTCCCCAACCCGCTGCCCGCTGCCTCCGCTCGACCGGCTCCGGCCTCCTCCTGCTCGTAAGCGCCCTGAGACGCCATCCGGAGTCCGGCGCGGATGTAAATCCGAGTTGTTGTTGTTGTTGTTGTTCGTCCCTCCGTTCCACCATCGGTGGCCAAGCTTTCAACCACTACGCCCCGAAACTCTGGAACACTCTCTCTCTCTATCTCTCCGCCCTCGCCCCCTCCTTGCCCCATCTTCAGGTCGCGCCTAAAGACCTTCCTATTCGACCGGGCCTACGAGCTCCGCCACCGCCAAGCGCTCTGGGACGCTACCGTGCGTGAGCGAGGGGCGTTGTGTAAAGGCAAATTGTTGTTGTTGGTCTTATTCCTGCATGGCTAATAATCCTTGCTTTTGGTCCAGCGCCCAATGGAGATATATTTCGAAGCGCTTCACAGAATTTATTGTAAAGTGTAGTGACTGTGTGTTTCGTAGGTGAACGGGGCAAACCAAGTTACGCGCAGCAACAGCTCGCAAAGGGCTAATCGATGACTGGAACAGGGTTACGAGGAATGGTGGTTGAGGCCCTTTGGGCTTTGGGACTCGGGCGAGAACCAGGGACCAGGCAATGTAAGAGTAATTTTTGTGTTTCCCTTACAGGGGGGGGTGGGTTTGGGGTTTGGATCAGATCGGCCCGTGGGCCCCAAGTGGGCCGGATGTGGCCCGGGGCCGCCGGTTGGAACCACCCTGCTGTCAGCGGATTTGTTTTCCTGCTAAGGTTGCCAGAGTAGGAAGAATACCTGTCAGCGAGTACGACGTGGTGATGGCCGTCAATTCACTCGTCACCGAAGACCGGCAATTCGATTGGGTCAAAGGGCCCGTCACCGAGACCAGAGGCGAGCGGGGTTGGTGGAGGGCGACCTTGAGCGGGGAAATGCCCTCGAACTGGACCGCAGAGAGGCAGCCGACGAAGCCGGCCGCGTTGGCCCTGAGTACCTCGTTGTCCGGGGGGCCGTCGCTGTCTGCGAAGGCAATTAAACACCGAGTGAGATTAGCTCGAGCCGGGCTGGACGGCGTGCAATAAAGGAGCTGGTGAACGGGTAAACCTCACTCCCCGTCTGCGCCCTGTTTCCCGCGGCGCTGTTCGAAAAGAGAAGGGAGTGTTTCTCTCTCTCTTCCTCTCTCTCTCTCTCTCTCCCGGCGTCCTGGCCGAGAATTCCACCCTCCCCCCCCCCCCCACCCCCCGCAAATAAAATAGGTCACTCGCTCCACGACCGTTTGCGGGACCCTACTGAGCGTAAAATTGGCTGCCGCGTTCCGCCAACAAAACTGCACGGTCAATCCGCTTGGCGGTGTATCCTCGAGCTTTGAGACGTCTCGACGAGGTGATAAGGCGAAGATTATTATTATTATTATTAATAATAATATTATTATTATCAAATCGCGCAGGTTATCACGTCTCTTCAACAAGAAGGAGGGTCGATTTGCTCATATCGAAGGCTAAAATGTTATCATCGCCACTGAAGCATTGCACAGAGATAACAGGGAACCACAGACAACACAGCGGGAAGCAATTCTCCCCATTATTTTGTGGTTCCTCCAAAAAAGCTGAGTGTCCTAATCTCAATTCCCCGCTCGCTCTGCTCAGCTCTGTAAATATGATAGCCCGTTGCTCAGGGAATTCAGCATTTCTTTCTGATAGTGTTTCTCTGCAAAAGTAATACAAAAATCCAATTGCCCCTGGATGTTTTTTTCCATTTTATACACTTGACAAAAAAATATATATATATATATATATACGGTCAATGGCTTCGCAACCCAAATGTAATCGGATCTCGGCGAAGGCAGAGAATTCCTTCAATCAATGACTCCCGCATCAATAGACGGATTTAAAAAGCCTCAAATCCATTTTCTCTCTGTCTGTCTGTCTGTCTGTCTGTCTGTCTGTCTGTCTGTCTGTCTGTCTGTCTGTCTGTCTGTCTGTCTGTCTGTCTGTCTGTCTGTCTGTCTGTCTGTCTGTCTGTCTGTCTGTCTGTCTGTCTGTCTGTCTGTCTGTCGCTCTCTGACTCCCACCCCACGGAAAATAAACTTTTTAATCTGATGGCACCTTCAATCCTTCTGTTTCAAAGGTTGCACCAAGGCTGTACCAATCTGCCACATCACTCCACATCATAGGAAAACAAGACCGCGGGGAACTGGAGGAGGCCATTCAATCCCTTGAGCATGTTCCGCCATTCTATTAGATCATGGGCTGATCTATAGCTCAAGTCCAATTACCAACCTTGGCCCCGTATCCCTTGACTCCCTGACCTAACAAACCTCTATCCATCTCAGTCTTGAGAACTGCAATGGATCCTCCTTATTCCTCTGCATCTTTCCTCCCTGTTCACCTCCGTCCGTCCTGCTTCATATCCCCCACACCCCCCACCGCCTCGGCCGGCCTCCCGTTTCCGTCTCGAGACCCTCCTCTTCGACCGTGCCTTTGGTCGCCCTCCTACCCCCTCCCCTCCCCGCCCTCCACCCGCTAGCGATCCCAACCCCCCCTCCCCCCCCCACCACCTCCCCCACCCATCCAATGTCCAGCGCCCTGGGACGTCCTCCTGACGTGTAATTGTTGTTGTTGTTCACGGCGGAGAGAGAAAGAGAGAGAGAGAGGGAGGGAGGGAGAGAGAGAGAGAGAGAGAGAGAGAGAGAGTGGGGGCTGGGAGAAACTCCCTTCTCTTTATCGAGTAGCGTTGGAGGTGTCTCTAGCAGTCCACAGACGGGGAGCTCGGTTTTAATGAGCCATCCATCTAGTGTGATTAACTGGAGAAACAGGCTGGAGTCCCAGAGGGTGACTGCCTCCTGTCTCTGTTAACATCCCAGGCCACACAGACTCAAATGCCTCCATTGAGCGCTCAGCCCACGTTCCCGCAACCGCAGATATGCAGCGATTAATCAATTCATTCACTATCACCCGCAGTGTAATGGCTCCGCTGGCAGAGTAAATAAAGCCAATGGATCGCTATGAACTGACAATGGCTTTAGAATAAACTGCTATCATTTACTCAGCAAATGGACTTAAAATTTCTTTTGTTCGGCGAGGAAAGCAGTGATTATTCAGCTGAAGCTCTCGGCAGCTGCTTGCATTTATAATTTCTCAGCGCTGACAGATGAGAGCGCGAGAGAGAGAAAGAGCCAGAGAGAGAGAGAGAGAGAGAGAGAGAGAGAGAGCCAGAGAGAGACAGAGGAAGCCAAACACTCTCTTGATATTGTAATTTCGTGACACAAGACACGTTTGCCAGGCCGACAGCAAATTTAAGAAGCACAAAGCTGTTAAAAGTAGTTTCAAACAACAATCCTTGCGTTTCATACGGTCACTCCACTTTACGGTCTAGTCTGCGAAGCGCTTTGAGACGTCTCAAGGCGATAAGGTGCTATATATCACCCGCAAGGATTCTTATTCTTGTTATTAAAGCGCCTTCCACTGTCTCAAAGCGCTTCACAGGATGGACTGGGAAAGGGGTGGTGACTGTGCACTTTGCAGGCAATCGCAGCAGCAAATTTGCGCATAGCTCAGTGACTTCCCGCAAACAGCTATGAAGTGGGGGACCAATTTTTATTTGGGGGTGAGTGAGTGAGTTTGTGCGTGGGGGGTGGTGGGGGGAGGTTTTTCAGCCAGGACACCAGGAGAAATAAACTCCCTTCTCTTTTCGAACAGCCCCGCGGGATCTTTAACGTCCACCTGAACAGTCGCAGAAGGGAACACGGTCTCACGTCTCAACCAAAGGACGTGGATTCTGACAACGCAGTCCCCAACCTGACACCCCCACCCCGCACCCCCCACCCCCCCCCCCCAACCCTGGCACTGGACTGGAACATCAGCCTAGACTGCGAGCTAAAAAAAGAAAATCCCGAAATAAACTACAACGAGAAAATAATTCTTTGAGTCACGTTTGATTTCCTCGTTCCGTTCCCCGGCAGCTGCTGTTTGCGCTAACAGGAGACGGAGGTCAATACGCTTCAAACTAATGAGAGAGATTAACAGCTCCGCGAGTGTGAAGTACACAGAAGCTTTTCCGACGGCGTTAAAGAGATGAACTGCGACTTAAAATATTCTTCGCACTCTCGAAAGATCGGCAGATATTTTTAATTGGTTGGGTACGTTGTGGGCGAAACGCGTCGGCCAGTTGTGCACAGCAGTGTCCCAAAAACAGTCGTGGGTTGAGCGGCCAATTCTTTTTAGGTGGGTGGGAGGGGTGTTCCTACTTGCCGAAGGTTTCGTCCCGCCTGGGAATCAAACCCGGGTCCTCTCGCTTGCGAGGCGAGCGCTCTGGACGCAGGGAACCCGACATAATCTGGACTGTGCCTTGTAGAAGCAATAGCCCTCGCATTTGCTACAGCAACTTATCAAGCCTTCGAGACGTCTCGCAGCCCTTCACGGGAAACACGCTGTAAAGTGAAATCCCTCGGTGTGCTTTGCGGGCGAAACGCCGTACGGTGGATTCGCATCGAGCGGGGAAAAAAAATAAGAATAATGGCGTCGTTATACATGTGTCTCTTACCCTGGATTTTGCCCAAGATGAGAGATTTGACGGCATTGAAGTCTGTGTCTGTTGCAGATGGGAGGCTGTGCCTGATGGTAGCAAACTGGTCAATCTGTAAATAATTAAACGGTAGAAATACAATAGGTCACATAAAGTTTATACACTGGCTCTCTTAAGTCTTCCCTGCACAGAATCAATCAAATAGGCAGAGCGGACTATTCTCCTTAGAGGAGAATCGGATCCTTTTAGACTGATTTTCTGTTACAATAATTAATAATTAATAACAACACTAATAATCATTGATATAACGCCTTATTACATTGTTGAGACGTCTCAAAGCGCTTCGCAGGATATTACCGTAAAGGGAATTCGCTGGGTCTTTTGTGGGCAAAGGGGGCAAAGTGATAGGCACTGTATCAAATGCAAGGAGGATTTTAACATGGATTCTATCTCGCCCACCTAACCCAGCAGATTACTCCGCAGCCTTAACAACTCGCTGCCTCACAGATAACCTCTTTGTAAACTGTCTTAACTTGCTGCCCTATGCTGACTGACTAACCGACTAGTGGAAATAATCTCTCCCTCTCGACCCTATCAGGATCCATTATCGTTCAGGTCTCCTAAACGGAAAAGAAAATAAGTCCAGTCAATTTTCCCTGTTCTCTGCACACAGGTCAAACCATTCATCCAAAGGTATCATCCCACTAAATCTCCTCTGCGCTCTCTCCGTAGGTTGGACACCTTTCCAACATCAATCAGTGATGGTACCTGTGCTGTAGATCAGTTTGAAGCACTCCCACAGTTCATGGCACTTGTCCAGCTAGAGCTAGACTAATCCTGCCTGTTAGGGCATTGACGACACGTCACCATCTCAAAGTCTTATTGATGAGATGGGAAGACCAGTCAACCATTAAATCTGTTTTGAGTTGATACAAGTTCTCACTTCGAACCCAAACAGTCCCCGAAGAATATATATTTTGACGTGTTTCCCATTTTACTCACTGATATCAATGGCAAGCTATAATGGTTTCAGCTGGTTAGCCTCCAGCAGTTACGTCAACACACAATCTGGGCTCCCCCCCCCCACCCCACCCCACCCACCACCCGCCAAGCCTTGGCTCTCGTCAACTCTTCAACTTGTATGTTCTCCGTCTCGGTGACGTCATCCGCAGACGTGGGGTCAACTTCTACATGTATGCGGATGACACCCAACTCTACCTCTCTGCCTCAACCCTCGACTCCAGGACCCGCTGCAGTCCTGACAGAATGTCCGTCATGATGAGAGCAAACTTTCGTCAGTTAAACGTCAACGAGACCGAGGCTCTCCTGATTAGCTCCCGTCAGCGCCTCCTCACCTCACTGCGCCAGTCCGGAACCTTGTCCCTCAACTGTCCCTTTCGACCCCACATGCACGTCATGACCCGTTCGCTCTGCCTTCCCCAGTCAATTCCTGGGTTCAATTGCCCTGGCGGGGCGAAAACTTAAGCAGGTTTCCTTACTCCACACGCTATTGGTAAGTAGGAACCCGGTCGTTAGTCGATTGGCGGATCGCTTTCCGAGGGTAATAATCCCTCCAAAAAATAAAATAAAAAAAGGTCATTCAATCCACGAGGGTTTGTGGGCATTCAAAGCGCTTTGAGATGTCTCAACGACGTGATAAGGCGCTGTACCAAATGCGAGGATTATTATTATTATTATTACAGAATGAAAGCGGCTTCCAAACAAAGACTGAATTGAAGAATTTTCCACACGTTCAGATAAGGCAATGAGTCTCCTTTCAGTTTTCCGCAAGTAATGAAGAAATACGCTTAATGTGATTTACCCCAACCTTCCAGTCCTCTTTGATGGCTGCTTGAATCACACTACTGTCACACAAAGCAGCACATCTAATAGCTTTTCCTACCTGAGGATACCAGTCTGTGAGAGTGTCATCGTTCTGGGCTCAGCTTAACATAGTTATTGTCCGCTGACGCTAATTATTGTTGCTCCTTCATCGATGCAGCGCCGCCACACAGCTCCCAATGCGCGCTGACGAGACTATTGGCCTTCAATCGATCACTCGAGACTTCATGTTCTACGTTAAGCCCACGCTTTAGAGGCTGCCTGGCTCAGTCGCTATCCCTCTCGCCTCTGAGTCAACAGGTTGTGGGTTCAAGCCCCAACCCGCCCAAACCCCACCCCCCAAGTCAGGACTTTGAGCTCACGGTCTAGGCTGATGCTCCAATTTTTGTATATTTTGTGGTTGAAACACGGCAGCCAATTGCCCACAAGCAGTCGTGGATCGAACGACCATTTTTTTTGATTCTTTGGAGGGATTGTTAACCCTCGGAAAGCGATCCGCCAATCGACCAACAACCGGGTTCCTACTTACTGCCGGGTAAACAGAGGCGCGTGTGTGTCTGTGTGTGTGTGTGTCTGTGTGTGAGGAGTAAGGAAACTTGCCTAAGGTTTCGCCCGGCCCGGGAATCGAACCCGGGGTCCTCTCGCTTGCGAGGCGAGCAGCTCTGACCGCGCGGTATCTGAACGCGAAGGCCAAGGGTCTTCAAAAGTCAACCCTGCGAGACCAGCGCTGTCGGAAATGGAGAAAGATTGGATCTACAAGAGAATGTACCAGCAGTGGAAATCTCTAATGAATCGGTGGCGATCACTGAGGTTCTTTCACTAACTCCGAGGGATTCTAATTATATTCTTGGCAGAGAGACTAATTGGATACAAGTAACACAGGGATTTGAAACTACATCTTAATGTGGAGCGCGCTTTGATTTGTGCGGTGATTAACGACTGGAACGGGGTTGCTAGGAAGGGTAATTGAGGCCAGGACAATGGACGCATCCGGAAAAAAAACAGCTTTGATGCTGCGGAAGGGAGGTGTAGTGTGTGACAGCCTGGTTCAGCGCTTTCTCTCTCTCTCTCTCTCTCTCTCTCTCTCTCTCGCCTCTGGAGGGTGGGGGGTGGGGTGGGGGTTATGTGTGTGTTGTGGGTCAGAGGTGCCGTGCTTGGGATGAGACGTTAAAGGTCCCGCGGCGCTATTGGAAAAGAGAAGGGAGTTTCTCTCTCTTTCTCTCTCTCTCTCTCTCGATGTCCTGGCCGACAATACCCACCGCCCTCCCCCCCAAATAAAATCGCTCGCTCGCTCGCTCCATGGCTATCTGCGGGACATCCGCCCACAAAATACACGCTCACTCCGCTTTCCGGTACATCCTGCGAAGCTCTTCGAGACGGGATATTCTGGCGCCTCTTACCTGAATGTAGACGTCCTTCCCCTCGCGGTCAATCTTCACGCTGTGAACATGTCCGTCGGCCAGGTTTCTGTGGCCGGCGCTGAAGGAGCACGGACCTTGAGCGTCATCCAGCTTGTAACTGACCTGAAAACTCCCTGCAACGAAAGAGTACATCGAATTCAGCGGCGGAGACACACACACGCAGAGCCCCATGACTGCCGCCCACGGATGTCGTTCTATCCTGTCCCGTTCCGTTTCCTGCTCCTTTTCCTGCTCAAATAAAATCGGCAGCTTGTTCCGCGGCCGTTTGCCGGACGCCGCCGCGCGCCAGCTGTGCCCGCGGACGTACTCCGTTTGGCATTAAATCGCGCGAAGCGCTTTGAGACGTCTCGAAGACGTGAGAAGGCTCCATGTCAGACGCGAGGATTATTATTCGTTAGGAGCGCTTTGAGACATCCCACCGACGTGATTAGGCGCAATATCAGACGCAAGGATTATTGATGGTGGTGAGGTCCCTTTGAATGTCTCTCTCTCATTCTCTCTCTGTCTCTCTCTCTCTCTCTCCTTCTCTCCATCTATCTCAGTTGCTCGGGTCCGTGCCAAACATATTATTGGGTTTCGAGTGTTTAGATTGTTCCCGGTAGTGTCAGCGCCAACAATTTACACCGCGGCGAACTCCAATTTTCATCCAGATGTCGAGGTGAGTTTACCGTAGGCACGGTCGAAGAGGAAGGTCTTCAGGCCCCCGACCGGGCAAGGCATTGAGGGAGAGCGTTCCAGAGTTTCGGGGCGTAGCGGTCGGTGGCGGAACGGAGGGCGCGAGGGACAGCAGGAAGGAGGGGGAAGCCAGTCGAGCGGAGGCAGCGGGTAGCGGGCTGGGGAGTGAGTTAGGTGGGAGAGGTCGGGAGGTGCCAGGAGGTTAGGAGGCACGGTCGACGAGGAAGGTCTTCAAAACGGCCTTGTAGGGGGGCGAGGGAGGCCGAGCGATTGTGGGATGGAGTTCCGAAGCGTTGGGGAGCAGAGAGGCTGAACGAAGAGCAATTAATCTTCTGCCGTGAGGGCATTGACTGACCCCCCCCACCACCATCCCCCACCCCCACCCTCCCCTGCCCCCACTCCGTTAGTTTGGCTTCAGTTGATGTGTGGGTGTCGAGACAGAGAAGAACAAGACATATGGAACCACAGATGCGAGCTGACTCGCTGTCACTGTCTATTGCCTGGCCCGTCGCCTGACGTGCCAGAAACACTCACTCACAACTTCTTGCAGATTGAGACAGTCGAGGATCAGATTGAGCAAATAAAATGTGGTGGGGGGGAGGTGGGGGGTGGGGCTGCCATTCATTTCCTTTTCAAGGGGTAAGGGAGAGGGGATAAGGAGGGAATGGAGGCTCGATGGGGATATAAACACCATCACGGACTATTGGGCCGAATGGCCTGTGTCCATGCTTTGTCATTCTAAGTCATAGAATAATAATAATAATGATAATAATAATCCTTACTTTCGTTTCACTTCAGGGGGACGTCTCAGAGCTCAACGCTTCACGGAGCGAAGGCGAACACAGCAGCTGTGGAGTCAAGTGAAGCGACGCGAAGCACGGCAGCGTCCCCGCAAACAGCCGTGGGTTGAGCGACCAGATTATCATTATTATTATTAGAGGGATTGATAGCCCCCTGAAAAGCGATCCGCCAATCGACTAGCAACCGGGTTCCATCGGCGGGTTTTGGAAGAGAACTCGAGGGACCGTTGCAGCGATCGCCGGTGCGTCAAGGTGCGGCGTTAGGCACGGTGTGCGCGACGAGCAGCCGTTTCGTTTCATTTCTCGCGCAATACTAATTTGGGGGCGTTTATTGGAAATCGAGTGAGTTGTCCCCCGTTTCCGGAGCCTGGAAACTTACCCCAAGGTAAGTTCGCGCGTCCATCTACCCTGCAGGAGTAGCAACAGCAACAGCAGCAACAGCAGCAGCAACACATCGCTTGACATTTGATGCAGTTTCTTGTCTCACCGGCTGCCGAGTTCCGCCCGCGAAGTACCCGGTCGCCTCCGCTTGACGCTATGCTCTGCGGAGCGCTTCGAGACGTCTCGAGGCTGATGACTACCACGTATGCGCGTGTTGTAACCACTCTCGTCAAAGCTGCATTATTATTATTATTAGTGTTGCTGTTGCTGCGGCTGTTGTTAAAGTGTAGTGACTGTGTGTTTCCAAGTCTCGACGTGGGGGTGGGCGCGGGGGGGGGTTTGATTCAGAAGCGAGAGAGAGAGAGAGAGAGGAGAGAGAGAGGGAAAGAGAAAGAGAGCGCTATCGACTGAGCCAGACCGACACACGCACAGGATAACATCTCGCAGCATCTGATTGCTTGATGGTGAAAAATTGGTGAGAAACTTTACTTCTCTCTCTCTCGCTCTCTCTCTCTCTCTCTCGCTCTCGCTCGCTGGGTCTGTGTCCTGTTTCCACGATGACCGAACGGCAGCCGAAAACCTTCTCAACATCTACATCCCTCCGACCGAGCGAAGGTACGACTTCCATCTCGAGGAGCTGCGGGAGCGAAGGAGCAACAGAGGCTCCGGGAAGCGAGGTGGGGAAGCCGGATCTGACTCAGGCCTTCATCAAAAAAGAAATATTCTACGATTGCCCCGAATCCGGCGCTTCACCTCAATATCGAACGGTGTGGGATGACAATCTGCGTCCGAGAAAAGCCGCGATACCGTGGCTCCCTTCGAAGTAACGTTCGAGTCCGAAACCGCTCCCGAGTGGAGGAAGAAAGACGGGTTGATTTGATCGGTGGTGTCTCATGAGGATAACAAGGAAGGGGGTTGGTTGGTGGGGGCGCGGGGGGCGGGCGGGGGGAGATCGGGAATTGGATTCCCCCGGGGAACAGCGCAACCATCACCGCTGTCGCGGATGATGGCGCTGAAGATATTGACCCGGTTTGGGGTTACGTTACCAGAATGTCTGATGACAAAGGCCCCCGAGGGGTTCGGCGAGAGAGGCTGTCAGCCTTCTGACAGAGTCAGAAGGTTGTGAGTTCAATACCAAACCCCCCCCCCACCACCACCACCACCCCATGCGCCAACTCCTTCGCCGCCGCCCCCCCACCACCTCTACATCGGGGACTTTGAACTCAAACAGTGCAGGTTGATGCTTCAACGGGGAAGGGCTGCATTGCTGGAGGTACCATCCTTCAGGTGAGATGAGATGAGATAAGAGACGCCGGGTTCGTTTCCCGGGGAGAACGAAACTTTGGGTGAGTTTCCTTACTCCGCACGCACGCCTCTGGTTACTCCAGCAGTCAGTAGGAACCCGGTTGTTAGTCGATGGGCGGATGGCTTTTCCAGGGAGGGAATAATCCCCTCCAAAAAAACAATTTTATGGACGCTTCACAGGAATTACTGCGAAATGGATCGACCGAGTGTTCTGTAGGCGAACTGCGGCAGACAGCGTACGCGCAGAAATGTCCCACAAACAGCCACGGAGTGAGTCACCAATTGCGATTGGCGGTCAGGGACAGCGGGAGAGAGAGAGAGAGAGAGAGAGAGAGAAAGAAAGAGAGAAAAACTCCCTTCTCTTTTTGAATAGCGCAGTGGGATCCGTAACGTCGACCTGAACGGGCAGACGGGACCCTCGGTTCAACGTCTCATCTGAACGATGGCGCATTTTTTTGCGGAGGGATTATTACCCCCGAAAAGCCATCCGCCAATTTGACCGATTATCGACCGGGCTCCTACTTTACTGCCGGGCAAACCGAAGTGCGTGGAGCAAGGAAACCTGCCTAAGGTTTCGCCACAATCCCTTATCCCGGGCCCTCCTCACCCCAGGAAAGAATCCTCGCATTCCATACGGCACCGGACAGGACCTCGCGGACCGCGGCCGAGCACGTGCGGCGGCCGGCAAACCGCGCCCGACAGAGCGAGGCAAAACCAGCCGCGGCCGATTTCCCTCGGGAACGTTCTCGGCAGCCGTCGCGTAAGTCCCCGCTGTTTGTTCGAGGCTATTAAGAAAGGAAAGGCGCAGAGTGTCGAGCTGGGAAGCTAAACAAATTGAACTCTGGCTCCAGCGATCAGCTGCAGTGTAAAATAATATCGCACTTTAGACTGTCAAACTGAAGGATTAAGCCAGTCTAACTTGATTCATCAGCTCCAGACATGACTGACGTGTCAGTGACATTTCCGACAGAAGACAACTCAAGTCCGGATTTGCCGTCAGAATTCAAGAAAACACGCAGTGTTGATAAATTAAGCCTTTCACCGACTGTGCCACAAAAAATAACCTTTTTACGAATTAAATATTAATGCGCGCCTTTATAAATATTACATTGGGACGGGGAAGAAAAAACACGCGCACCTCATGAATCTTGGCCGTCAATCAATAGTGGGAAAGTGCATTTGGGTCACGGGAAAGTTTGGCCGTGTTCGACTTGTTTTTAATCTCTATTTGTGGGGCTGTGATGATGATGGTGATAATAATAATGATGATGATAATCCTTGCATTTGATATAGCGCCTTATCACGCTGTTGAGACGTCTCAAAGCGCTTCACGGGATATATTGTAAAGTGGAGTGATTGTATGGTTTGTGGGCGAAACGCGGCAGCCGATTGCGCACTGCGGCGATGCCCACAAACAGCGGTGGATTGAAGCGACCAATTTCTTTTTGTTATTTCTTTTTGAAGGACTCATTACTCCCGGAAAAGTCATCCGCCAATCAATTGATGATCAGGTTCCTACTTACTGCTGGATAAACGGAGGTATGTGGAGTAAGGAAACTTGGGACGTCCTCCTGACGTGAAAGGCGCTCTATAAATGGAATCTTGTTGTTGTTGTTGTTGTTGCCTAATGTTTCGTCCTGCCCGGGAATCGAACCCAGGTCTCTCGCTTGCGAGGCGAGGGCTCGAACCACTGAGCTACAGGAACTTCAAGATGGGGAAGGTGGAGGGACAGAGGGAGAGATTTCCAGAGTTTCGGGGTATAGTACTTAGGGGCAGAACCAAACTGGGAGGTAGACAGATATTTGCGGAAGGCGAGGGGGGAAGAGGGTGGGTGGGGCGATGGCGGAGAAAAAGGAAGGGAGATGGGATTAAAAAGAACGGCCATGATCTGATAAAGCGGTGGAACAGGCTCGGTGGGCTGAATGGCCTCCCTCCTGTGCCAGACAAGTGCGCGGTTGTGCGGAGACTTACCGTTGTTGGACAAGGTCACGGCTATATATTCCCGGCTGTGGGAATTAACGTAGAGCAGCACGGCGGGCGTCTGGGCGGTCCGAAAACTCAAGGCGATGTTCTCGCCGGCCAGGGTGGGGGCCGGGGACTGGGGGGAGGGGAGATCACTGGCGTTTTTGAGGGGTTCCTGCATGGTGTACCTCAGTGACGTGCCCGGCTCGAAGAGGGCTGAGATCTCTGAAACAAAGGAGGGAACAACCAAATGTCAGAGCTTCTCCGGTGAGCTCCTCCGCTGGTCCGTCCGGCGAGAATTCCCCGTGACAATTTATTATTATTAATAATAATAATAATGGCTCACGCAAGGCACGGTCGAAACCACTTTGGCGGTGTGTCCTGTGAAGCGCTTCGACAGGGCCGTAAAAGTGGAGCGACTGTGTGTTTTCCGGGCCGAGGACGGGGGGCGTGGGAGAGAGAGAGAGAGAGAGAGAGAGAAAGTCCCTTCTCTTTTCGAGTAGCGCCGCGGGATCCTTAACGTCCACTTGAACAGGCGCAGACGGGGAGCTCGGTTTAACGTCTCGGCCGAAGGACAACTCAACACACTCGCGCGCGCGCGCCCGCGCACACACACACACACCGACACACGCACCCACCCACCCGCCCCCAGCGCTGCGCTGGAGCCTCAGCTTAGACTGCGCGATTCCGAGAGAGAGAATGAGCGGCCGGAACGGCGAGATAGTAAGAGCCCAAATCGCTGGCCTCGTTGGACCTACAAGTTGCCCGAGCCTTCATCTCTCTTTAAATCGCAGCGGAGAAGGCCGATAGGAAGCAAAGCAACTTTAATAAATCAGACCGTGTATGGCTCCCCCCCCCCCCCCGACTGTCCAGCCAATTTCCTTTAAAAGATAGGAACTTGTAGAATGAATTTGCTCGGATTCTGGACCTGAACTTTTTTCTTTGACATGAAACATTTTGAGACCCCCCACACCCCCCCCCACACCCCCGACGAATTCACCGAGGTTTTTTTGCCAGCCTCGTGGCTCTGCGTCGCTCTCTCGGTCTCAGTGCGGACGTCATTAAGACGAGCGATTAAAAAGCTGAGTTTGATATCAGCGCAATCTGTTAGTTTTCTTGCGGCCGGAGATTATTCTCTCTGTTCTGCGTTGGGGAGCGCAGGTGCGTTGCCGGACATCTCTCCTCGCGCTTCTGATGGCAGGCTGTGCGGTTTTAGCTGGTCGGGCTCCAGGAGTCACCCCAACGCACACCCTAAGGCTCCCCCTCAAATCCGGCCGGCGTGCGGGTGGAGTTTCCGAGGCGCATTGGTTAGAGCGCTCGCCTCGCGAGCCGGAGGACCCGGGTTCGATTCCCGGGCAGGGAGGAAACCCGAGGCAAGTTTCCTCACTCCGCACACGCGTCCCTGTTTACCATCAGTAAACAGGAACCCGGCTGTTAGTCGACTGACTGCGTATTTTGTGGGCGCAATTGGCTGCCGCGTTTCGCCCCACACAATACGCAGTCAATTCACGTTACAAGCAAATCCCGTGGAGCGCTTTGAGACGTCTCGAAGGACGCGATAAGGCGCAAATGCAAATGCAAATGCAAGGATTACTGTTATCATTACGTTGTTAGAAATCTGCGAACTTAAGAGAACAGAAGGGGGAAAAGAAACAAAGCTTTGATTTCGGGACACTCGTGATCGTGAGAGGCGAAAGGAATTTGAATTGCTGGTTGTGCTTCGACCGGAGATCAGTTCCTGGCGAGTAAACTGAGTTTTACTGCGAAAGCAATTTGCAGCAGTTTTGCTTCTGAAAGAGAGCATATCATTGACAAACAAGGGAATGATCCCTTGTTAATCTTAACTTGAAACAGCCTCGTCCCGCAAAAGATCTCCTTGCGGAGATAAATATTTATGCAGCGGGAAAGTGAAGTGAACGCGCTGCTATTATTGGATTAGTGTTCGAATAAATCATTTCCGTAAAGCAATAAAGTGCTATGAAATCTTTCCTTGTCCTTTCTGATTTGCCGAGCGGAATGCAAACTCTTGCAAAAGAGTTGTTTGTGGCAAACAGCCTTCTCAGCTTTAATTCCTCCCGCGCCAACATTCGGATCATTTGTTTGGCCTCACGTTGAGGTCTTCGTAGTTATTAGTATTATTATTATTATTATTGTCATTATTATTATTGCGATTGTTATAATTATTGCCATCGCTATTTGTATTGTGATTATTATATTAATATCCTTTTCATTACTACCTTAATGTTATTGCCATTATCAAGTGTGTACAAGCATAGATTATTATTGTCATTAATAATGTCTATGCGTTTATTATATTATTCTCATCATCAAATTACTACTATAATCATATTATTATCATCGTACTGTCATTCTAATTACTCGTGGTCGAGGCTGGACTTGAACCGCTCACCTGCCTTACAGAAGGGCCCGTTGTACGGGGACTGGCTGCAGTCACAGGAGTACCCGCTGGGCCTCTCTGTACACCGGCCCCCGTTGTGGCACAGACTGCCGTAGCTGCTGCAGTGCCCCGGGCAGCCGGCCGTTACCCCGGGGGTCACTGTGGCTCGCTCCTCCAGGTCCAGGCTCGCCCCGTTCAGCCGCACGGACCGGATACAGCCCAGGAAACCCCTCTGCCTCGAGGCCGTCCCTCCTGGGGTGGGGGGGGGGGGGGGGGGGAATCACATTCACAAGTGTTAAGGCGACGTTCACAAAATAATAATAATAATAATTATTGATAATAATAATTACGACCCTTGAATTTGACGCAGCGCCTCATCACCTCTTCGAGACGTCTCCAAGCGCTTCACGGAGTATTCTGCGAAGTGCAGTGACTGTGTGTTTGGCGGGCGAAAGGCGGCAGCCAATTGCTCACGGCAGCATCCCCCGCGAACAGCCGTGGATTCTCGTTGAGCGAACCTTAAGCACAAAGCTCCCTCTCTCTTGCGAAGCATGCGGGTACTTCTAGCGCTCGCAAAAGGCTAAGGCGCAGCGATTGACGCCCTCTATTACAGATCCTACCTTCATTGATCCCTTCAGCCATCCTAACGCTTTTCCAAATGCATTTTCCTCGTGACAGTCCACCACTCTCTCCCCCCCCCACCCCCCCCCACCCCTCGCCCCCTCCAGCCGCCCTCCCCTTGATAAGAGATGTCAATCTCTGGCTCGGTCAGCAGAGCTCAGTCCAACATATTGGGTTAACGGAGCAGAAACTCGACCGTCCAGTTTCCTTGCCGTTGATGAAGTGGTTGTTATTATCATACACCTATATCGTCAAAGCGTCTCCAGGCGCTTCAGGTGCTTTAAGGTGTAGCGACTGGTGTATTTTGTGGGTGAGCACGGCGGCTATTTTTGCTCACGGAGACGTCCCACAGACAGCCCTGAAGTGGGTGAACGGTTTTACCCGACGGGGACTCTCAGCCAGGACACAGCGCGCGAGAGAGAGAGAGAGAGAGAGAGAGAGAGAGAAACTTCTCCTTCTCTTTGCGAATAGCGCGAAAAGGATCTTTGACATCCACCTGGACAGGGCACAGACTTGGTTTAACGTCTCAACTGTAGGATTCAGGTCCTCAACACTGGACCGAATACGTCTGTGGAGATGTGGCAATGGGAGTTCTGAAGCAGATCATAGCTAAGGCAGACGTGAGAGCCTATTTGTTGATCGTTACACCTTGCTTATTAGACAAAGTGGATATCCATCCATCTTCATTAGTGCGTCACTTGTACTCGGCGTTGCAAAGACGCACTGGAGACTCCTTCACGCGCTAATGTCAGCAGTTATCAAAGGTAGGATATGGACGGAGGTTTACAACAGTCTTAAAGGGAAGGGAGCGGAGGATAATTGTACGGGGGGGAGAGAAGGCAAGGGGTGCGCAGGGCGAGGCGGTGGGCAGACCAAAATGGCTGCCTGCCCATTGGCACCAATTGAAAAGAGATCAGATAGAAACCATGTCCATCGCTGGATGGACTCCTGCTCTTCCAATAAGTGCAACAGCAAGGTCACTCTAAGAGCAAGTGTACCACGTCTTGACCAGTATTCCCGGGCGGGTCGGGTCAGGGCGAAACCTTAGGCAAGTTTCCTTACTCCACACACACAAACACACACACACACACACGCGCGCGCGCACGCACGCCTCTGTTTACCCAGCAGTAAATTTCTAAATAAATGCTAATAATTTGGTCACTCAATCCACGCCTGTTTGTGGGATGGTCGTGCGCGCAATTGGCTGCCGCGGCGATTCGCCCACAACTATACAGATGATCCATTTCACAGTATACGCTGGCGAAGCGCTTCGAAACGTATCAACGACGCGATAAGGCGCTGTATCAAATGCAAGGATTATTATTATTAATACTGTTAACAATATTAAATCCACCCGTGGCTCTGCTCCTTATTTGCCCACCACCGCGTTTGCCCACCACCGCGTCACCGCCGGGGCAACTTAAATCAATCTCTAGCGCTGCTACTCCTGTGAAAAAGGAACCTGCAATGTAATCATACTTCTGAATTATGTCGCTTTGCACACACTCGTGACCTGCGTCGGTGGCTTCAGACACAGGAGCACGTTTTACTCAAACGGCTGAACGTTCCGTCGTGGCACAGCAGAGATGCAGATCGATTCGCTTCGGCGCTTTGAGTGGAAAGTTCGGTTTACACGAACCGCCTTTCCCACATCGCCGCTACGTTTTTCTCTGATGTACGTACACGTCTCGCAAAGGTAACCAAACGAGACAGCCGGCCCAGAGAGAGAGGTAAGGGCGGTGTCCCCTCGGAGCTGAGCTGGCTCTGCTGTGACCCGTTGGACGACAGAACGTGGGTATCGAGCAATGACTCTGTTGACGGTCTCTCCAGTCTGGTTCCTGAGCCAGGAGGGTCCTCAGCTTTCCAGAGCACTCTCTGCTGATGGCAGCACCAGCCCGGCCTGGCCCGTCGGCAGGACCTGGTGCGGTAGAGTGGGTGGATTCCTGCTCCTTGGTTTCTGTTAACCCCGCAAGCCCAAGCCCTGGTCCTCGCTGCGGGGAGCTTGCCAGGCAACAACAACAACGACAAGATTCCAGTTATAGAGCGCCTTTCGCGTCGGGAGGACGTCCCAAAGCGCTGGACACAAGATTGGTTTGGGTGAAGAAACCTCTCTGGCTCATGGGTCACACGACCCACTACCGTTTTGTGGGGACTCCGCTGTGCGCAATTGGCTGCCGGGTTTCCCCCGAAAATACGCAGTCAGTTCACGTCACAGGATATCCCGCAAAGCGCTTTGAGACGTCTCGACCGCGAGAAAAGGAGCTCTATCAAATGCAAGGATTATTATCACCATTATCTGACTTCATCCTTCTAGCACACCCACCCTACCACTCAATCCCCCCCTCCCCTCCCCTCACCCCCCACCCCACCCCTCCAACACCTCATCAAGCTGCTTCATAAACGATTCCCAATATCCTCACCTCTACCGTAAAGGTAGAGGCGTAAGGAAGGCGGAGAGCAGGTGGCGGAGATTAAAAAAAAAAGCAACACAAGTTTTTATCTCTCGTTGTAGATGTCACAGTCCAGTCAAACCCTTGAGACGCATCGCTCAACAGTCGTACGAGCGAGTGGAGTGTTGGGCCGGTCTTTATGACTCCGCCCGGCTGTTAGAGCCAACGTTTTACTGCCACAGCAAGACTTCCCTGCCGTTAAAGAGAGAGGACTTTAAGCAGCGGATTGCAGTGTGTCCTATCAAGTGCTTGCGCTCATACGAGTGTCTCTAGGGTTCAATTCGCTTCTCTTCCCCAACGTTGCATTTATGCTCATTGTTAAGCGCTGGGGCTGCTGTTCCTTCTTTATCTAAGGCATGGTTACCCGAAGCAACGACTACAGGCTGCGTTGAGTTTTTTTTTTGGGGGGTGGGGGGGAGGGGGGTGGGGGCGACGTCTCGACGATGGGTGCCTCACGCACGCGGGGAACGCGCGATCTGGTTTGGATGCTCTTAAGCGCGGCGACGTGGGTTTCCACGGGTGTCAGACACCCGGCTGACACCCCCCCCCCCCCACTCCCACCAAAAAAAAATGACTTCGCTGTTGATTTAGGCTTGTTGTATCCTTCAATCCCTTCCTGATCCAGACAAACATCAAGGTGCCCCTTAATCCCATTTAGATTGTCTTTTTCAATGTGATTCCTCGGCAATATTTGTAGCACTTTTATTACCGTTTGGGCACAACGATGGCCGTCTTTTCTTCCCGACTCTTAAACTAGTGTCGATTGATATGTAAGCCTCCCCTCACCCCCAACCCCTAATTGTCGGCCTGAACACCGGAGAAGCTCTTTTCTCTTTCCCGATAATGCCGTGGGATCCTTAACGTCTGCCCGAACAGGGCACTGATGGGCACCTCGGTTTGACGTCTCATCCGGAGGACGGCACCTCCGATAATAATAATAATAATAATAATAATAATGATAATTCCTGCGTTTGATACAGCGCCTTGTCACGTCGTTGGGACGCCTCAAAGAGCTTCACAGGATATACTGTAAAGCGCAGTGACTGAGAAGAGATTTGATCCCCGGAAGAGACCGCATTTGAAACGCAAGCGCCAAACAATGCAAGTTGTTGTAGTTACTGCTATTGTTACTACTACTACTACTACTACTAATAATAATCCATACGGCGCCTTATCAGGTCTTCGAGACGTCTCGAAGCGCTTCACGGGATTGTATCGCGAAGTGAATCGACTGCGCGTTGCGCGGTTGGAGTTGACTGAACTTGAGAGAGAGAGGCAACGCAACAGCGGGGGTGGGGGTGGGGGTGGGGGTGGGGGCAAGCCAAGCCTTACCTACGAACAGCTGGCTGTTGAGCTGCAAGTGGATGTGCCCGTCAGCGGGGGCTTTCTGGGATCTCCGCGGCAGGTTGTCTACTCGGAGCGAGGCCTCTTTGACGTTCCGTTCTGCCTCCACGTAATGCCACTGGTTGTCGTTCAGTTTGGTGCGCGATTTGACCGCCACCTCCAGCAAACCGTTTCCCACGTCGAAGGACAGCATCACTTCTACCGGGGCTGGGGAAAAAAACACACACACGCACACACGCACCGCACACGCAGACACGCACCGCACACACAGACACGCACCGCACACACAGACACATACACACACACACACAACACGTGGAGAATTGAAGACGGTTGCTCTTTCTCATTCTCTCTCTGTGTTTGTGTCTCTCTCTGTGTCTCCGACAATGTAACCCCCCCCACCCCCCACTCCCTCCAGCCCTGCATTGGTGCGTCAGCTTAGACTGTGTGATTCCAAGTGGAAGTGGGGTGGGGTGGGGTGGGGTGTGGTGGTGGTTGGGGCTCGAACCCACAACCTTCTGACTCGGAAGCGAGAGCGTTAGCGGCTATGCCGGACGGTGACCTGAACCCAGTGGTCTGGCAGGGGTGGGGGGGGGATAGGGGAAGGGGGAGGGGGAGGAGAGGGTAGAGCAGGGGGCCAGACGATTGTGGGGAGGAGGGACCCCACTCACAGTTGAGGGAAGAGGAGGGGAGAGGGTTGGGGTGCAGGCTACGGGGGTTGGGGGTTGGGGTGAGGAGGCACCTGAACCCCATTAACAGTTGAGGGAGGAGGGGAGAGTTGAGGGCGAGGGTTGGGGTGCAGGCTACGGGTGATGGGGGTTGGGGTGAGGAGGCACCTGAACCCCATTAACAGTTGAGGGCGGAGGGGAGAGTTGAGGGAGAGGGTTGGGGTGCAGGCTACGGGTGATGGGGGGTTGGGGTGAGGAGGCACCACTCACAGTTGAGCTGGAGCCTGATGAAGTCCTTGATGCCCAGGTTCTCCAGGAAAACGCCCGAGGAGGCGGTGGTCTTGAAGAAGAAGGAGATGTCGGCGCTGAGCTCGCCGCGGAAGGTGGGGAAGTGCAGGTACGAGGAGCCCGAGCTGAAGGAGGCCGCGTTCCAGTAGCTTCCTGTGCGGGCGGGAAGTCAGGTCATCAGCGCCGACGACGACAACGACAACAACAACAACGACGACAACAGCAGCAACAACAACTTGCATTTACACAGCGTCCCCTCGCGCAGGGCAACATCGTACTGGAGCATCAGCCTCGATCGTGAGCTCCAAGACCTCTTCCGACGCGAGGGCTTGAACCCACAAACTTCTGTCTTGGAGGCCAGAGTGCCAGTGACTGAGCCAGGCTGACAACAACAACAACAACAGCAGCAGCAGCAGCAACCACCACAACAATTTGCATTTATATATAGCGCCCTTCAGGTAAGGCAGCGTCTCGGAGGGCTTAACAGTGACCGAGCTGGGCGTCGAGCAAGGGGTGAGGGAGGGAGGGAGGGAGGAAGGTAGGACTGAAGGAAGGAAGGAAAGAAGGAAGGTAGGACGGAAGGAAGGAAGGAAGGAAGGAGGGAAGGAAGGAAGGAAGGAAGGAAGGAAGGAAGGAAGGAAGGAGGGAGGGAGGGAAGGAAGGAAGGAAGGAGGGAAGGAAGGAAGGAAGGAAGGAAGGAAGGAAGGAAGGAGGGAAGGAAGGAAGGAAGGAAGGAAGGAAGGAAGGAAGGAAGGAAGGAAGGAAGGAGGGAAGGAAGGAAGGAAGGAAGGAAGGAAGGAAGGAAGGAAGGAAGGAAGGAAGGAAGGAAGGAAGGAAGGAAGGAAGGAGGTGACCATGGATGATTAGACCCCTGAAATCATCGGGGACCAATTTCTAGACGAGCGAAGATTTATTCACTCGAAATAAGCTGCAATTCATCTGTGGGCTTCAAGGTGTCTAAACACATTCCCCCAACTTTGCACCGGGGTCTCTGGGGGTGGGGGGTGTGTGTGTGTGTGGGGGGTGTGTGGGGGGTGGGGGGGGGTTACCCTGAATACATACTGAAACGATGTATTTGCCAAATAAATTGAGGACCAACACACAAACAATCAAAGCGAATTGAAGTCATAAAAATGTAAATGGTTTGCCGCTGAGGGTAATACAATTTAAAATGCACATATTTACCTTTTTTTGTCTCACACACACTGTCCAAGAAGCGAAATGAGTTTCTTTCGCTCTCTCTGTGTGTCTCTCTCTCTCTCTTATGTCTCTGTCTCTCCGTCTCTGTGTCTCTGTCTCTCTGTCTGTCTCTCTCTCTCTCTCTCTCTCTCTCTGTCCGGGCCAACAATTCCTCCAGATTAAAAATTAGTCGTTTGCGGAAAGCTGCTGAGTCCAAATCGCCCACAAATCGCACCCCGTCACCCCATTTTATAGCGTACCTTGTGACGATGTGATAAGGTGCTGTATCGAATGCGAGGATGATGATGATTATTATTATTATTATCATATTTCTGATCACGGGACAGATTTCAGATCTTTTGGCAAAAGAGGGGAAAAGAGGAGAAGTGAGGGGTTACGATCTGGATCCCACGGCCTGAAAGGATTGGTGGGAACGGATTCAATAGTAAGTTTTAAAAGGGAATTGGATAGGTACTGGCGAAGGAAAAATTTGTTGGGCTATGGGATGAGAGCGGGGGAGGGAGTGGGGCTCTTTGGGCTGATCTTTCGAAGAGCTGGCACAGGTACGATGGGCCGAATGGCCTCCTTCTGTGCTGTAGGTAACCACGGGTCCCGATCCCTGACCGTCCAGGGCCTTGGGACGTCCTCCCGACGCGAAAGGCGCGATCCAAAATGTAATTTGGGTTTGTACTTACTGTCACCGTAGCAGCGAAGGGGTCCCAGCTTGTACGCGGCTTCCGAGTTGGTTCTGTTGATGTCCCCAATGTGAATGCGAGTCACCGGCAAGTGGTCTTTGTAGGAGAGCAGACCGGAGTCACTCGTCCTACCAACAGTTAGAATGAACGTGTAAAATGCCAGGCACGTAAAGGAGCATCGATATCACATTGAGTCAAGCATTGTAAAGAAGAATAGTCCTTGCCTTTCACACCGCCCCTTATCGCGTCATTGAGACGTCCCAAAGGCCTGCGCAGAATACACGGTAAAGTGGATTGATTGTGTGCTTTGTGGACGAAACGCGATTGGGCGCACACGGCGGTGTCCCCCAAACACTCGTGGATTCAACGGCTATGTTACTTTTTGTTGGATAATAAAGGATTATTATCCCCGGAAGGCGCTCCGCAGATCGACTAACCACCGGGTTCCTACTCACTGCTGGGTAAACGCGTGAGGAGTAAGGGTACTTGCCCGAGGTTTGGCCCTGCCCGCTCGGGAATCGAACCCGGGGTCCTCTCGCTTGCGAGGCGAGAGCGCTCTCACCCACTACGCCACAGGGCTCCACAATCCACAGCAACATCCCATCATCCTGTCCTCCCCCCACCCGCCCCCGCTCTCATCTCTTCGCCCCTCCCCTCGCGATGAGAGAGGACTCAAACAGAAGTAACCCAAAAAGACTATTTTTTTCCCATTAAATTTGAGCAGTTCTGGTCTCTTGCGCAAATTGCACGATATCGATTGGTATTGTTGTGAGCAATTCCTGCTATGTAGCAACTAAATAGGGTTTGGCTCGTGGGATGGTGAGGCTTACAGCGTTACAAGAAAACCTCATGAAAAACGCTCTCCCAATTGTGATTCAGCCCAGCACAACCGGTTGCATTTTTTGTTGGTGGGGAGGGGTGCGGGGGTGAAAAATTGGGTCTCTCTGGTTAAGTTTCTGACGTTGAAGCAAGGAAAAAAAATCGATGTAAATAATACAAGCTGGAAAATAAAACAGCCTGGTCTGGAGGGAATGGGGACGATGTCTGAATACACACTGTGAATGACGTGCATGATTTATAAAAGTTTGGGAGCTTTGTTTGTTTGTTGTCGGCCACGGGTTCGAGACAGCGACTGAAATTTATCTCTGCTTCGACGAAGCGTTCTGCTATCTCAATGCCGTTCACGCTTTGCACTCTGCGAATCTTAATTGACAATCTGCGATTAAAGGTGCCACCCGGGAATTTACTGTGTTAACTGTACGATGTGTCGGTCTGGCTCGGTTCAATCATGAATAATAATAATCCACGCGCGTGACACCGCGCTTTTTCGCTCGACGTCTCAAAGCGCTTCACAGAACAGACTGTAAAGCGAATTGACTGTATATTCGCGGGCGAAACGCGGCGGCTCAGCTGTTTGGTCGATTGGTGGATGGCTTTGCTGGGGTGGTGGGGGCGGGGGGGTGTGGAGGTGAAGAACCTCATCAGAAAAAAAATGTGGTGACCCTCAATCCGCGGCTGTTTGTGGGACGTTGCTGAGCGCAATTGGCTGCCACCTTTCGGCCCACAAAATACCGATAGGGTGTCAGTCCTCCTTGGAGAGATCAGCCGTGGAAAGGAGCCAAGATAAGAACAAGCAACACGGACGCCAGTAACCTCGGGAAACCCCGCTACGCAGCCTCGAAAATGTTCAGGTCCCAAAGAAATCTCTGTTGCCCGGGGGGGGGGGGAACCAACCAAAATGGCTGCTTGAGAGCCTCTGGTCCTTCTACCCTGACCCAGAGGGACAGACCGTTGCCTGGAGCAGGGCAGGTCGCCTCCGCCTTCTGTTGTTCCCGTAAAAGTGTTCCAGTTTTTCTTTTTCGTTCGAGAGAAACGAAATGTTTTGCGCCTCGAATCGAATCGAACCTTTGACCTACCAGGTCTCCCCATCGGCATCGCAGTTGCAGAGATGTTTGGCATCCGCGCAGTTTCCCTCCAGTCCGCAGGCGCACTGCCGGACTCCAGGCCTCGCGCCGCCCCAGTAGGTCTGCTTTTCGTTGGTCCTCCCGATCCACCATGTGAACGGTGTCCCACCTAGCGAGGGGGAGAAGGAGGGGGAGGTTTGGGGGGGTAAAGAAAGACAGATCAAAGTTTTCCCTTCCAGCAGATGGTAGAGCGCTCCGAGACACTGCCCAGCACAAGGCGAGCTGAATTAAATGCAAGTTGTTATTGCCGATAACATCACCGCCACGTTTTTAACCCTCCGCCCCTTGTGTGCATGTCCCTGAATGTCCAGCGCCTTGGGGTGTCCTCCTGACGTGAAAGGCGCTTTGCAAATGTAATTTGCTCTTGTTGTTGTTGTTGTTGTTGTTGCTGTTGTTGCTGTTGTTGTTGTCGCTGCTGTTGCTCTTGTTGTCCTTCCAGCCTGGCTCAGTTGGTCGCACTCTTGCCTCGGAGTCAGAAGGTTGTGGCCTCAAGCTCGACATCAGGGCTTGAAGTCATCAAGTCCAGGCTGACCTTCCAACCCAGTTTCGCGCCCCCCCCCCCCCACCCCCCAAACAAGACAGTCAATTCCCTTCGCAGGATATCCTGTGACGCGCTTCGAAGCGGTGATGAGGCGCTGTAGGATGGCGTTTCCGACAATGCGGAGCTTCCCCACCCAACTGAGAATTCCACACGTCCCACCTACACGAGAAAATCCCAGAGGTAGATTGTTGGGATGGAATACTCTCTCTCTCTCTCTCTCTCTCTCTCCCTAGAGGGACGGATCCTGTTTTCCTAATTGCTAAGGGTACGAGGCGCAGGTTGGCGAGAGCCAAGGCTTGTGTGGGGGTGGGGGGGGTGGGGGGAAGCCCAGAGCGTGTGTTGGACGCTGGAGTCTAAGCAGCTCAAACGACGTAGCTCAGCATTGATAGCACCGTCCGACCAGCTTTCCCGCCGCTAATCCAACTAGGACCACCCTACCCGTTTGAACCCACAATCTTCTGACCGGTTGGCGAGGGTGCTATCGGCAGAGCCAGGCTGACACCCCTTAACAGAAAGCCGACAGTGGGGTCAATTTCGAGACGGGTTCCTTTTTCCGGAGCCTACGGCGTTACCCACCGAGTCAGGGGGAACGGCACATCGCTGATATTAACAGCGATGAGGGGTTGAGTGGCCGGGGGGAATGAAAAAAATACACGCTATTTCCTTGCCGCCGGGCCTAATGATTCCGAGCGGAGAGAGAAAGAGAGAGAGAGAGAGAGAGGGGGCGCAGGGAGAGAGAGAGAGAGAAAAAAAAAAATCAATGTTGAAGGTTTTTATTCCCAAAGCAATTGCTTCGCCGGCAAATATGGCGAACAGGCTTGACATCGCAATCAGAGGAACATTCTGTCGAACACATTGTTTAGAGGGCCCGTTCCCTTCCGAGGACAGCCAAACCCTTTGAGGCTGATTCGTTCTGTATTTTCCAATAACGCTGCGAATCTCACAGCTAATGCAGCCGTGTGCGCTGAATCGGTGAACAGTTCAACAGTTTGCGGGGCAAGTTTTCCTCGAAACTTTTGCTCGCATTGGGAGGGGGCGGGCGGGTGGGGGCTATTTCTTTCGTTCCAAATATTCCTTACATTTTTGCTGCAGCGCCTTATCCATTTGGACTCCATCTTATTAATGTTTTACTTTTATCGGTATTAGTTATTGTGTTGACGGCACCTTATCTTTATCCACGAAATACGCAGTCAGTCCACTTTGCTATACGTTCTGCGAAAGCGCTTTGAGACGTCGCGCAGACGTAAAAAAGGCGTCGGGTCAAACGCAAGGATTATGATTATTATTTATTAGCTCAAAGCTCTAGCGTTGGCTCAGCGCCTTCAGGCGGGGCAGCATTTCGGAGCGCTAAACGGTTGCGGAGCCAGGGTGGGGTGGGGTGGGGTGGAGGCACGGGTGGAGGGGGAGGGGGAGGTGTGACCGTAAACACCGTCGAAGAGGAAGGTCTTCAGTAGTGATCCGAAATAGGGGAAGGAGGAGGCGAGGCGGAGGGATTGGGGGAGAGAGTTCCAAAGCTTTGGGGTGTGGTGGAGCGGAGGGGTTGAGGGACAAGCAGGAGCGGGTAGCGGGTAGCGGGCAGCGGGTAGTGGAGTGGGGGGGGGGGGTGGTGTGGGTGTTGGGGATGGAGGTCGGAGAGGTAGGGAGGTGCCGGGGCGTGAGGGGATTTGTGAGACGAGTGAGAGGATCTCGACATCGTTCCTTTCTGTGACGGGGAACTAGCGGAGCCTGGCGAGGACTGGTGAGGGTGGGGGGTGGTTTATCGGTTAGGGGGAAGTGGGGGGGGGGAGCTGGGGGGTGTTGGTTGTTGGTTGGGAAGCAGAAAGAAACTCTCTTCTCTTTTCGAACGAAAATGGTGTTCCCGGTGAAGTGAAGTCGAGTGACAGTGCGCGCTGAGTGTCTTGGAAGCCCGGCCCTATTTTTAAACGGGGATAGAAAGAAAGCTTTGGAGCGGGATGAATTATTCAGTCTCTCAGCGCGAGCGTCAGTAATTCCGGGCTGTCATGACATGCTTGACAAGCGAAAAAAAAAAATAAATATATATATGTATAATCCCACGAGCCGCGAAGAGTGGCACACAGCGAATGTAACGCACTTAGACAACACTGCGCTCACTGAGGGACACAGAGACACGAACGCGAGCGCGAAAGAGACATCAAAAAGAAGTTTGGGCGCCGCACTTCATCCACTTGGATGAAGTTCTGCCACGAAGACGACGACAACAACAACAACAAAAAAACCCAGCAGTAAATATCTCGTGTCGGAGCAAAGCTGCTCCCGTTCCAAGGTGTCGAAAGACAACCACGACAACTTGCATTTGCTTTCGCGTAATCTGGGAGTTGTGATCAGGAGGGGAGGAGGGGATGGAAGGGGTAGGGGGTAGGAGGGTGTCCGAAGGCGAGGTCGAAGAGGAGGGTCTTGAGACGGCCCTTGAAGGAGGCGAGGGAGGGAGTGAGGCGGAGGGACTGCGGGATGGAGTTCCAAAGGGTTTGCCCGGGTGCGAGTAGGAACCCGGTTGTAACTCGAAACACCCTTTAAAAAGCAATGGGGTCTCTCCACCCACGACTGTTTGCGGGGACGCTGCTGCGCGCAACCGGCTGTCTGCCGCAAACTACACGGTCACTCCACTCCACGTGACATCCCGCGAAGCGCTCTGAGACCTCTCGGGGACCACGACAGGACGCTGTATCGAATCCGTCGCTTCGTTAAACTAACGATGCATTATTATTAAGCATTTATTGTCGGAGCTTCTCTACGTCGCGGCTGTTCCCCGCTTGATGTCTGTCGCTTGAATTTCCTCCAAGTAAACAAGGCTGGGAAGCGGAAATAAGTGGCCTTTGCTTAACCCTGAACTGTTTTTGACTCCCCCGAGGATCAAGTTGTCTTTAATTCTCTGTCGGTTGCTGAGCGCTGATTAAAACTAGTCCCATGGGCAATTAATAATCCCTGCCTGTCATCCCGGGACCTCCAGCAATAGTGGGGCATAGTGCAACTGATGGGGAATTTCCTCGAGGGTATCTCCAAGGGGTAAACGGCAGGAAATTCCACCTTGGCTCCCCGAGACCGCACGGGCTAAGACGAAGGGGGGGGGCATGTGGGCAAAATTTCCTGATCCCTGTCGTGATTTTTCTGTTCATTTGTTTTCCTGCAGGAAACCAGTTTTAGGTTTCACGGTCTTAAATCATAATAATGACAATAATTAATAGCGATAATAATAACGATGATAGTGATGACGATCCTTTTGCTATCGTTTCACAAAGCGCTTCACAGGATTTTATAATATTAATCATAACAATCCTTGCATTCGATACAGCGCCTGAGTGCAACCATTGAGACGTCTCGAAGCGCTTCACAGAATATACCGCGGAGTGGAGCGACTGTGCATTTTGAGGGCGAAACGTCTTGACTACTCGACTTTAGCAAAGCGGCAGATCCCCTGACGTTCACGAGATTGGTTTGAATGAAGAAGACACTGGGACCTGTTTTAAAAAAAAGCTTGATGCTGAGAAATTGGGGTGGGGGGTGGGGGGGGGGGGGGTTTGTTGGGGGAGAGAAAGGGGACAAAATCTTCTAGACGGGTGAGATCAGATGGGCCGAAGGGTCGGTCGGTGTGTGACCGACTTGTTTCTGAAATCAGCGCGGGCACAGATTGCTAACTTGAAGAACACTTCAGCAAATGGTTTCACCCTTGGGGGCAAGTTTAATTTCACTTGCTTATCATTTCGCGAGCGTTAGCGGCCTGCGGGGCAGCCTGTCAAGCCCCGTTGACGCGATACCTCTGCCTGTACACTCTGACGCGACACCCATCGGTGAATTGGTCCCATCAGAGAGCCAGAGAGACTCTCTGTGGTCTGTGCGGGGTCCCGGATCAGCAGCAAGGCGGGGGAGAAGCTTCCAAACACTAAGGTGGAGACGATCAAGGAGTCCAACGGGACATGATCTAATAATAACGCATGGTATGTGATAATCCTCGCGTATGACACAGCGTCTCTTGTTATGACCCCTCGAAGCGATTCGCACAATATACTGTAAAGTGAGTGTTGAACCCGGGTTCGATTCCCGGGCGGGTCAGGTCAGGGCGAAACCTTAGGCAAGTCTCCGTGCTCCACCCGCACACGCCTCCGTTCACCCAGCAGTAACTAGAGACCCGGTTTTTGGTCGATTGGCGGATGGCTTCTGCGGGGGTAATAATCCCTTCAAAATAAGCGAATGCATAAATACAATAATTAAATAACAACCGGGTTCCTACTTACTGCTCGGCAAGCAGAGGTGTGTGGAGTAAGGAAACTTGCCGGGAATCGAACTTGGGTCGATTCTGGCCGGGAATCGAACTTGGGTCCTCTCGGTTGCGAGGCAAGGGCTCTAACCACTGCGCTACAAGACTCTTAGGTGAAGACTGGTTTAAAAGCAAGATCTTTTCAAGTCGAACATCATGAGCTCCTAAGCACTTTGCCCACCAAGGGCAGTAGATTTCCACGTGCTCCGTGATGTTTATCTGGGTCAGACACTCTTGGCTCTGACGTGACTTCACCAATTCCATTTAGCTGCTTCTCGCTCCCTTTCTCACTCCA